TTTGCAACGTCCAATTTATATAACTCATTGTAACTAAATATAGCCCGTGTTCCCAAATAGATCAAATATTATTTTAATGTGTTTTTATAAGAGAGCTCAATTTTTTTCTGCCTCAACTAAATGTTCTTTCTGTTTTTCTTCAGTTGCACTCTCAAGTACAATTTGAAGTTTTTACTTTGTGGGTTTTATTCCTCCATTGTTCATTGCGTTCTCTTAGCAGTTTGGAAGAGTGCTTCTTACGGTTTTATAACACAACCTTCCACTTATAACCACAACAACAAAATATTCTTTCCTAGATTTAAGGTGAAAAAAAAAAATCTCCTCTCATTTACTTTCCTAACAGTGACTAGCACCATCACTGATGTCAATAAAACCATTAGGGAGAAAAGGGGGTTAAATTAAATTTCTTGTGGTGCTTCGTTTTTTCATGCAAAGAGAAGTGGATATTCTGGAAAATGGTTAAATTTGTTTTAAAAATACAGAAAGAATGTTGTTGGTTCAACACCAGGCGCTTTGGTGAAGCGATAAGATTTTTTAAAAGCAAAGCTTTTCACCAGGTGTATGACACCATTTCACATAGCCATTTGGGTTTAAGTGGAATGAAACTGGGAAAAGAATGCATTTTGCATTTGTAATTCAGTTAAATAGCTGCAACACATGAATTGGTCTACTGGTAGTTCCCCATATGTTTCCTTTAGTCATTTCAACATTTTCTCCACAACTACTAAAAATGATCACTTTTATATGAGGTTTAACCTCTTATCTTAAATCTAATAGTCAGGATTTTTTGCTTTTGGATCTATAATTACTATTACCAGAGTAATTATAAACAACACTCTGAAAGTTATTCATTAAGTGCTCATCATCATCAAATAATATTCATGTGCACCTGGGGACATATTACTCTTTCATGGCAGTGCCCAAAATCATAAATACCATGCAAATTCTCATTTAAGAAAGAGAAAGGCAACTTCCCTTTTCTGAGATACACAATGGACTCTAAACTGAGGGTGTGGTACCTTACCCACATTGTCAGGCCATTCCTGGAGAGAATCCATTTTTTTTAATTTCAATTACTTGTGGCTTTATTTGAAAACCCCAATTACTGATACTAGAGATAAGATGTCCAAATTGTTACCTGCCTGAATATTATATTTTTCAACCCAGTTATATTTACACATCATATATAGTCCCATAAATGTCAGCCTCACCTTTAAAGTATGATTTTGCCCTTGGACCTGCCTTCTCAGAACCTATGAAAACAAATCCATCACACTTACATCATCAGCAAGGGTATACCACATAGCTAATATCTGGGTTCTCTGCTTTAGGGGCAGATCCAACTGGGAGGACAGCATGTAAACTTCTGGTTTTCCCAATCACCAAATTCAACACCTAGAAGTCAGATTTGAATCTTCTCTTCCTTGCCTCCCACATCTAGTCAGTGGCCAAACCTACTAACTCTACTTTCACAGTGTTTAATGCATTTATTTCTTGCCCTCCTTTGCCGACATGTTAATTTCTACCATATTGATTCAGAATTCCACTTACCAGTTAAGGTTGGAATCCATAGGCATAACGCCATTTGCTATGTCTGGATACACATGCCCAAAGCCAGGTTCCAACCTCAGGTCATGACTGAATGGTGGGTAGTGGAGTCATTATCACGGAATCTCTAGGCCCAGGGTGGAGATGATGATCCAAAGGCTCCTCAAGGCACCTTGGCATGGCTGTCAGTCTTAAAGAATGTCTGAGGAGAAGTCTCATTTCTCCTGGGACCTGCCTTAGATGACCTCATCCTCTAAGAGGATCCACATGGGCTGAAACTGATTGCCAGGTAGGATGGGGATAATTTCCAACTCAAATCGCTAGGCAAACTGAAGAAGGTATGGAGGATGGACCTGTTTCAGATCTACCTATATGGTAGTCACCTTGAAATCAACCTATGGATCCAATATGGATGGAGCCCAGAAGTTCCTGAAGCTCTGCCAAACGGGGCTAACAAGCTTAGCGGACAAGAGTCGAACGTCCAGGGGCCAGCCATCATGAGATGGAGAGAGACCTTGCAGTGGAAGCTGGGAGTGACCACCCAAACAGAAACCAAAAGGAAGGTATGGCAGAAATGCAATGGGTCTATAGCCCCAGTCAGAGTCAAGGAATGGTCACGTCAGCCAGAAAGGGCTATAGACCTACTGAATCACAGATCAAATCAACAACAAATCTCACTCCCAAAAGCCAGCAAAGGGGCAAAGGGGCCTCACCCCGAAGACCAAAAGAACGAAAGAACTCTGACATCTTTCCTCACCAGGAGACTGAGTGAGCCCAAACTTCTTCAGTAGACACCAGTGTCATTTTGAAGAGGAGAGGAGAACAAGGCAGAAATAATAATATAAATGAGAGGTAATATTTTTTTGAGAACGGGCAATGCCAGGTCCCGTTCTAAGTATCTGCATTAACTCATTTAATTCTCTCCAACAATCTTTATGGGATTCTATTATATTTTGTCTTCCTTTTACTTATGTAGAAACTGAGACACAGAAGGAGTGAATAATTTGCCTAAGGTAACACAGCTACTAAATGGCAGAATTGAGATTCAAAACAGGCTGGTTGGCTCTACGGCCCTTACTCATAGCTATTGTATGATGGTGTCTCTCTTCAGAAATAAAAATCCTGTCACATGGAAGCTTACAAGATTGTACAGGAAATAAAACATTGTACACAAACTAGTAACCAGGAAGTGTAGTAACCTTCCCCTTTTGCAGTAGACCCAGCCACCATTTTGAAGAGGACTTGAGAAGGAAGAGAGGTATAGAAACAATGATGGTGACGGTGATGATGATGATGATGGTAATGATAAATATATTGAACCCCTTCTATATGCCAGGCTTTGTTCTAAGCACTTTAGATGCACTAACTCATTTACTCCTCCTTCTAACCCTGTGATGTAGACTGGTGCTGTCCAATAGACTTTATGATAGAAATGTTCTATTCTATGCTGTCCAGTACAGTATCCGCTAGCCACATGTGACTAGTGAATCTTTGAAATGTGCTAGTACACCCGAAGTAATCCAGAAATTACTTTAAATTTAAATTTAAATGGGCATAAGTAGCTAGTCACTATCAAATTGAATCGCACAGAGGTAGATTTCTTTTTCTAGTTTACACACGAGGAAACAGGGGTACAGAGTAGTTATGTAATTTGTTCAAGGTCACGAAGCTACTCGGTGGCAAAATCGTGGTTTAACCACAGACATTCTGACTCAAGAGCACACACGTTTAACTTTAACATTTCCATGAGAGGTCCTGAGCAATTATCCCAGAACACTGAGCATTATCTAAAGGTACTATTTAAATGATTGAATGGAACATTTAGTTCCTTTCTTCTCCAAACAGTTGGGACCAGATCTGTAAGCGACAAAATAAAGACACTAATTTTCTCTTTAGAGTTTCTCAATTGCATTATCTGCTCTCCAGTAACCATGATGTGTTTCAGTGTGGCTGGGCCTGTCCCATTTGGTCTGGTTGCACTTGCGTGCTCTGGACCCAGAGGGCTGCCCGATTACTGTCACCCAGTACATCTAAACCGAGAAGGACACGGCTCGTAAACGGGGCAGCCAAGCCATCTAATCCTGTTTGCTGGGACGACACTTTACAGGCACAAGGACCCTGGGGTCAAGCTGAAGGAATGAGGGTAGGGGGCTGTTGTCAGAGGTTATGTCTCAGTAAGTAGAATGTCAGGAAACTATAGAGCTTAAAGCCCAGAGAGAGGTGCAAATCTGGGGAGTCAAATTGAAAGAATTTTCTTAAACCGGAGGCATATTGTAAAATCGGCAGAATGCTTAGAACAGATACACCAACCACAAAATGAAAGCCTGCCTGGCCCCCACTGACATCTTGAATGACCTTGAGCAAAAGCTTACCTCTCCATAGTGTAATGTCATCTGTGACCCATGACATATAATACAATTGCCAGGTAGGATGGGGGTAATTTAATATATAATTTAATATAATACAATTGTATTATATGTCATGTATGAAGGGACAATAATAATGTCCCTTCATCTGTGTGACAGACTTGTTTTTAAAAGGCTCTTAGCTACCCATGACGGAAAATATAGCAATACACCAAGAAGTGTTTTCATTGGGATTAAGCACTCTTGCTACATTTTCTTAGATGCTTTAATTTATGCACAAAAAGAATGTAATTTGCTTGGTTTTTCTCTGAATCAACTCCCCATGTCTCATTCTGAGTTCAGAACAGTGATGTTGTGAGGTCAGTTTCTACGGGTCCCATCTTGAAAAATGATTTTCACTGGGAATTAAACCAGGGATCTTTGTCTGAGAGAACAGTTGGGCTTGAAATAAAGCTGCTTTACTTCTGGAACAAAAGATCATATTAAATGTTTGAGAAAGGGGAAACAATACGAACACCCTGGAAACCGAGGACTTTTAAGTGCAAGTTTTATCAAAGCAAAAGCAAGTCAACCCACTAAAGTGTTCCTGTAGGACTGAAGATAGTTAAAGATTTATTATAAGCCACAAAAACCTGGGTAAAATTGTGTGCCAAGGGGGAGAATTTTGCAATTTAAAATGTGTGTGTGTGCGGGTGCATGTGACATTTGTGAAATTTCACAAAATGTTTCCGTTTTGCCAGGCAGCGTTCACAAAGCCAAACCTTGGAGCTCGGCACAGCACCTAGGCCAAAAGCAATCAACAGCCCGAGCCCACACAACAGCAAATTAGCAAATACGCCAGCTTCCCTCGCATCCCGCAAAGAAATGAAAATCGCAATGCTGAATTGCACAACTCCTAGAACATGAGAAAAAAACAACAATGAAGAAAGGAAATATTTTAAAGCCCAAGTTATTATTAACAAGACATACTGAGAGAGAAGCTTCGGCGTCTTTCCGTGTAAAATACAGGCCAACTGAGTCACCAGATTTGCAACAATATCGTCATCGGCCACCCCGAGGAAGTCACGATTTGCTGTTGTAGCCTACCTTCACTGGCTTGCAGGAGCACTGGCGTGAGCCCTGGTCATCTGTGTTGATGAACGTCCTACAGCAGCAATCAGCAACGTTTTCTGGTGATTAACATAACATAAAAAAAAAAAAAAGAGAGAGTCAAAGAGTAAATACTTAAGACTTTGCGAACCATGCAGTCTGTGTTGCAGCCACTCAACTCTGCTGCCTTAACATGAAAGGAGCCACAGACAACACGTGCATGAATGAGCACAGCTGTTTCAATAAAACTTTACTTACAAAAGCGGGAGGTACACCTTAGTTCACCGATTGCCTAGGCAATCGGAAAAGGGGAAGAGTGCTACATATGTTAGAACTAGAACAAGATTAATTGATAGTTGGGGGAAAATATGTTTATTTCTAAGTCTATGGAATTCTAATCTAGTCTAGATTGACCTAATTGTAATATAAGAACCAGAAATTGGAGTAGATAAGATTATAGATTCTGTAGTAAATTTCTGTTGTAAATTTCCCTGTCTAGTTTCAGGGTTTCCTCTGCAAAGGAGACCACCCTCAGCACGCTCAGGTATTCACTCCTCTTACTCCCACAGACATTTATGTATAGATCAGTGTTTCCTTCTGTGAATTTCTGTAGCCTAATTTTGTGCCTAAAATAGAGTAGCCAGCCAACTGAAGGAGTCCCTGCACTGCCGTTCGTTGTTTCACTCGAAAAATAATCAAAATTGGAATCCTAAAATATAGTGGAAAAATATCTTCAAAGTTTAGAAGGAAAAAGATTTGGGGTGTCAATTCCTAAGCCAGTAACTCAACAAAGTCAATTACAGATATTCAAGAAGTCAAAAAATGTACCACCCTTAAAGAACACTTATTCAAGAGTTTGTGTCAGAAAAAAATAAAAACAGATGCAAAGAAGAGAAAGACAGATGACTGAAGAAACAACGATAAGTTAAGGATAGCACACAATTTACAATTAGATCAAAATGATTCATAATGGCGCTTTTAAGCCCAATTCAATTATTTATAATAGAGATAAAGCCTTATAAAATAGAGGCAAGATAATAAAAAAACTCGAACACAAGATTGAAATGAAATTTCTACCAGAGGAGGAAGTCGAGGAGAAAAGACAAGAGACGCTAAGTTTCAGTCTCGCCTTGTTTAAGGAAGAGGCTAGAGATGCTAACTAATGTTAGCGATTGATAGAAGGGTACATATTCAAATGTGTTAATAAAAAATAAGCTTAAGCCATAGATAAATAGTAGTAGTATGTATATCTTTCAACCGGGTAAACAAAAAAATGTCAGTAAAGAAAACTCAATCACTCCAGGAAAGGGTAAAAACTAATTTACATAAAAATAGAAAACCAAACAGCGTTGTCAGAGTTAGACCAAATGTTTCCATTTTCCTAGTAAACAGTAACAGATAAATTTCCCAATTCAAAGACAGAATTTCAAATTAGGTTTTTCTTTAAGCAAAATCCAGGTATATCTGTTTCCAAGAAATACGCTTAGAACAAAATATTCCAGAAAGATCAAATATAAAGGGATGGACAAAGATATAGTAGGCAAAAGTTAGTGATATAAAGCAGAGCAGTAACATTATAGTTAGTCAAGGCAAAAAGGTTAAATAAGACAAAGGCAGTATAATACATAAAGCAAATATAAACTCATTCTATCGAACATTCAACTATCAAACCACATTTTTAAAAAATGTTTGAAATCCAGAAGGCAATTGACAAATTTAATATCAAATGGGAAATTTCCATACTTCTCTCTCAGAAATTGGTAGAAGAAAAAAGAACCACAAGAACATTTGAATAGCACAATTAACATGCTTGATTTAATAAATACACGGAGAACTTTGTAAGCAAAAAGAAGCAAAATAAACATCTTTTTCAAATATCCATGGAACACTTATAATACTGATGATATATTCGACCACAAAAAATTCTCAAAAGATTTTTTTAATAGCAGAAAGCATGCAAACCATATTCCACAGCTATGATGCAATAAAACTAAAACACTAACAACCCAAATGGTCAAGTTAAAATCCATCCACTGGAAAATTTTTTTTTAAGATTTTATTTATTTATTTGACAGAGAGACACAGTGAGAGAGGGAACACAAGCGGGGGAGTGGGAGAGGGAGAAGCAGGCTTCCTACAGAGCAGGGAGCCCAATGTGGGGCTCGATCCCAGGACTCTGGGATCATGACCTGAGCCGAAGGCAGACACTTAACGACTGAGCCACCCAGGCACCCCTAACCACTGGAAATTTAAATGCATTTTCTAATTAGTCTTGAGTTAAAAAGAAATTCATAATTTATATTGCAAATTACTTATAAAATAACAATACTCAGAACACTACACATCAAAATTTAGGCACACTTGGAACTTCATGGAAAGCAAGAAAGGATTGAAAATAAGTGAACTAGGCACACATTTTAAAAGCTAGATAGAGAACAAATAAGCCTCTCACTAAAAGGAAGAAAGAACCAGGACAGGGGTGGCGGGAGGGAAGGAGGGAGGGAGGAGTGGAGGGAGGAAGGATTAAAAATCAGATATGTATACAGAGATGGAGATAGAAAACAGAAAATAGTTCATTTGTTCAATAAATGCAAAGGATTGTTAATTGAAGAGTAAGTATGGCAAATACGATTGGGAAAAAATGAAAACACAAGTAACTTTAGAAATGAGAAGAGGAGCTCAGTTATAAGTATAATAAATGTTAAAACCTTAAGAGAATGCCATATAGGTTTTATGCACATACACTAGAACATGTATATGAAATGGATAATTTTCTAAGACAGTGCAAACCTTGAGGACATTATGGTAAGTGAAATAAGCCAGTCACAAAAGGACAAATATTGTATGATTCCACTTACAGGAGGTACCTAGGGTAGTCAGATTCATAGAGACAGAAAGTAGAATGGCTAGTAAGAGCTACAGGGAGAAAGGGATGGGGGATTGGTGTTTAATGGGGGCAGGGTTTTCAGCTGGGGGAGACGAAAGTCCTGGAGATAGATGGTGGTGAAGGCTGCACAATAATGTGAATGTACTTAATGCCACTTGACTATAATTAGAAATGGTTAAAATGGGCAATTTTGTATTATGTGTATTTTACAAAATAAAAACAGAGCAACTTGTCTTACTAGATATCAAAATTTACTCTACAGCCACAAGAGTCAAACAGTGTGGTATTAGGAGAGGTGAAAATAATCAGCATAACACAACTGAATGTTCAGAAATAAACACTGGTATTATGGAAATATATGTGATGAAGATCATATCTCAGGTCTATGCAAACCTGAGAGGCTATACAATAAAGAGTTTGTGGTAGTTGGTTTTCCATTTGAAGAAAATAGAATTAGGTGTTTATTTCACATCATACATAAAAATAAAGTGCAGATTAAAGGGATAAATGTTGTAATATACACATATGTACATATACATAAATATAGATAAAGATATGCATATATAAGAAACTATAGTGGACTATTTGATGATAATAGGATACATTAGCATATGTATGATGTCAGCATATTAGATGCATTAAATAAAGATAACTAACAACTTTTACTGGCAAAATTGTGGGGAGATGGGCACTCATAATCTATTAATACTATATCATTACAACTTCTAAAGAAATATAGCAGTAACTTTTAGAATTAAAAATGCATAACCTGGGGAACCTGGGTGGCTCAGTGGGTTCAGAGTCAGACTCTTGATTTCAGCTCAAGTCAGGATCTCAGGGTCCTGGGATCGAGCCCCGCGTCAGGCTTAGGGATTCTCTCTCTCTCTGTCTTTCTCTCCCTCTGTCCCTCCCTCTGCTCGTGTTCTTTCTCTCTAAAATAAATAAATAAATCTTTCCAAAAAAATGTATAATCTTTGTCCTAGTCATGCCATATGGAATCCAACAGAAATAAGAGTAATTAATAAATAAATAAGAGTACTAATATTTGAAACAAAATGTACGCAGGTATTTATTGCTGCACAGCTAGTAACAGCAGAACACTAGAAACAACAGGAATGTTGATAAATAGAGGAGAGGAATGGTTGAATAAATGATGGTCCATTCATTCTACAGAATATTATGTAGCCAATTTAAAAATTACCAAGTCTCATAATGAGAGCATATGCTTATTGCGATGAACACTGAGTAATGTATAAATTGTTGAATCACTATATTGTACATCTGAAATTAATATAACACTGTAATACATTAACTATCCTGGAATTAAAATTAAAAACTTAATTTTAAAAAAATTTAAAATTTTTGGGGCGCCTGGGTGGCTCAGTTGGTTAAGCATCTGTCTTCGGTTCAGGTCATGATCCCAGGGTCCTGTGATTGAGTCACGTATTGGGCTCCTTGCTCTGTGGGGAGCCTGCTTCTCCCTCTGTTTGCCGCTCTCCCCGCTTGTGCTCTCTCTCTGTCTCTCTCTCTCTCAGTCTCTGACAAATAAATAAATAAAATCTTAATTTTTTTTTCATTTTTAAATTACGAGGTCAATCTCTATGAGATAAGCTTGAAAAGTATCCACCACATATTTGTTAAATGAAAAAAAGTTTTCAGGGTTATGCATATATTTGGGGGGAAGAGTGGATCCACTTGCAAATCTTCAGTTTCTACAGCATCTACAGCTGATGCAATGTTACATCAGCAAAGTGGGGGCATGATTGAAAAGCGGGGAGAAAAGAGTACTTTAGACACTTTCATATTATATACATAGTTGCCATTAGCTTGTATCTTCTCATACTACAAACAAATTTTCTTACAAGTAACAAAAAAGAAGGAGAAGGAGGGGGGGAGGAAACAAAGGGAAAAAAAAGAAAAAGAACATGGCGAGTGGGCAATGGGAATGCCCAGTGAATTATAGAAATACCTCTCACAGAGGTCAGGTTCTGCCTCTTGGAGATTGAAAGGCAGAGTGGGAGAAACGCCATGGAGGTCTGTGCTGCTTTCTGGGGCTGGCTGCCAAGTCTCCCACTGCCCAAAACTCTACTCTGGTGCCTTGAAGGATACTGTTTTCTTGCATAATGGCAGGCCAGGAACTGGCATTTGAAGATTGCAAGCTCCAGGTTAATCTCTTAGGCCCTCTTGAACTGT